TTTAGGGATTTAGGGTTTAGGGAACTCCTCAAGCCATAAAGCCCTAACCCCTTAACCCAAGAAGGCCTAAGCCTGTCCGCCCCAGAAGCCCGTAAATTAAGTTCTAGCTCCTAAGGTGGTTCTCTAAAATTAGGGTCCGGTTTAGGCTCCTTTCCCTCCAGGTGCCGCCTTCTTTCGGGTTCCTCAAAGGGACGACAATCTAGAGAACTAATATAGGGGCCTTAATAATTAGAATCGGCTTTGGGGTATATTATACTATAATTATAATAAGGAGCCCCCAAAACCCTGTTCTAATTACTAAGGCCCCTACAATACCCAAAGAACATGGGTTTTCTGGGTTGTTGCTTGGCCTCGCTTGGTACTGCGCAGGCCCCACACGCAAGTGACCTGCGCCTGCTGCTTCTGCCCGAAGGCCGGGACGTTTAGGGTTTTAAGAGTTTAAGGTTCAGGGTTTTAGGGTTTAGGGTTTGGGGTTTGGGGTTTAGGATTCAAGGTTGTAGGGTTTTAAGGTTTAGCCTATAAGCTTGGTTTTACATGTGGGGTTTCTTAGGGGTCCCTTTTTGTGGTTCCGCATATATGAAGGATCCCACAGTTCCAGTTTGTTTTACACATTAGAGTTCCTGTTTCTGCAATCCCATCCCGTTTCGTGCAAAGAGCTGACAAAGCCGTCCCACAACTTCCCCCAAGTGACACAGAAGAACACGACAAAGAAGCCAGGTAATGACCAGACCGGAGATGCTTTGGAAGAGAAAATGCCCTAAACCTAAACCTTAAACCCTAAACCCTAAACCCTACACCTTTATCCCTGGACCATGTTAGAACTTGCAGCCAAACCCAGCAAGGTCAGCAATCGTCCAAACCACAGGTTCCCGGTTTAGGGCCTGTGGGGCCCATGGAGGTTGATGGAGGATACTTTGGCGCTTCTACGTGCCCCCAGAGCCCTGCATGGGATTAAACCTAAACTTCGCAGGACCCGATTGTAGGGGCCTGAATAATTACCAATACTATATTGAGGGCTCCTTATTCTTTTTATAGTATTCTGGGCCGAAACCCTATTAGGACCCTGAAGGCCAAGCCGAAGCCGCTGGAACCCCCGAAGTAGATCCTAGAGCCCTGGAGAAGAAATCCAGGAAACCTCAAACAGCAGCCCTTACAGGAGGCTTAAACCTCTATGCAGTCTGAACCCTAGGTCACTCAATTAAGTTGGATCTCGACCTAACCCTGCAAATTGTCTGCGCAGAGGATGCCCTGGTCTATTGTGCCACCGCCTATCTTTCTGCGGTTGGCCAGGAGGACACTGCTTTCAGTCTTTGTGCTGCTCACTTGTTTAATGGAAGGTTCATGTGTAGCTAAGGAAGAAAAGAGATAGTGCAATCCCTAACAGGTATATACCTTGCTTCAGGGGTATGGGAGGCTCTGGGCACGTCATTGGAGATGAAGATTTAGCATACTATGCTTCGATTGGTTGGAACGACCCAAGCAAGACAGAAGAGTTTGTATGTTAAGTACCCTACACTCACTCTCCTGCGTAGCATCTCCCGACATCGAAAAATTCAAGTACGGTTTCCATGAAGATATCGCACCCCCTCTCTCCCAGAAATGCGGACCCTTAATGAGACCTGCAAGGCCCTAAACCCTGAACCTAAACCCTCCAAGCCCCAAGCCTAAACCATAAACCCTAAACCCTAATATAGGGGCCTTAATAATTAGAGTAGGGTTTTTTGGGTGTCTTATACCACAACTATAATAAGGAACTCCCAAAACCCTATTCTAGTCACAAAGGCCCCTACATTACACCCTAAACCCCTAAGCCCAATCCATTGCTCAGCCCACAAAAGCTGATCAATGGATTGCCCACTGTGTAGGCCGCTCGGGAACTTCCGAGAAAGGGTCACTGCACTTACAAACACAAGCCTCAACCCCGAGACGTTAAACCGTAATCCCTTAAACCCTACATCTTAAAACCCTCAATCCTAAACCCCCGAAGCCTCAGCTAAGCCAGCTAGGCCATGCAAGATTCCAAGCGGCCAGCTTTCGTCTGCAGGATCGGGCGCCCTTGGTGTTGCCGCTGGGCTTCGACAAACCTGCTTACATAAGTACCACCTACAAATACATAGTTAATATGCATGCTTCGTAAATATAAATATACTTAAATATAAGTATAAGTATAAGTATAAGTTTAAATATTAATATAGATAGATAGATAGATAGATAAATAAATAAATAAATAAATATAAATAAATAAATAAATATATATATATATATATATATCACGTATACACATGATAAGAATAGAAAAGCGTTAGTAGATACGTATACTTTCGCAGGTCAAAGCTTTGGGCTTTAGGATTCCGAATCCCTAAAGCCGGAGTCCTCAACCCTGAGCAGAACACGTTAAACCCTAAACGCTGAGCCCTAAACCCTGCGTTTACAGCAATCCTGGGCTTTGGCAAAAAAGAAAGGGGGGGCAGGCATTGCAATTGCTCCAGCGCAACATGCTCAACCTTTTCTGCCCCGCTACTGCTGGGTCCTTGTTGGCTACAATCTTATACTTTTTGTTAAGATAAGAACCCAATAAGGATTTACACTTATCCTCTTTAATAGTAGCCCCAACAGGGAACCACACTACATCTGAACGGGGTGTTGGCGGTTTCATCTTGTCAAGGCTTGAGGTGTTGTGGAATGTCGGCAGCTTCCTGGCCGCGCAGCGGACCGTGTGTCGTTGGCCAGGAAGGTGGGTTGGGATGTTGCATTTATGGCCCTAGACCCTAAACCCTAAACCCTAAACCCTGAAGCCCTAAAGCTCCACGTGCCAAGCAAACCTGAGCATCCCCTGAAAGCCCCGAACCTCGCGTGCTTCCTCCTTGACCCCGACAAACCCGAAGCCCTAAACCGCCTAAGCCCTTACCCTTAAACTGTAATCCCCAAACCTGTAAACCGTGGACCCTAAACCTTAAGCCCTAAACCCTTAACCCTAAACTCTATACCGAGGAAGGGTCTCGGCATCGGCCCGAAGGCGACGTTCTCCTACGACGAGCTGGACGTCAGGGCCCTGGAAGATTTTTCTTCTTACCCCAAACCCTAAACCCCAAACCCGAAGCCCTAAACCCTAAACCCTCAGAAAGAAGCCCTAAACCCAAGCCCTAAAAACGGTACTGGATACGAAAGAGTTACCATGAGAGTTTTTTCAGGACCTGGGGTTCCACCAGGCTTGGATCTAAACGGCTTACTATAAGGCTTCCATTAGGAACCTATAAGTCGTTTCTAAGGGGTCATACGAGTTTTAGACCGCTTGTTTATTAGGGTTTAGGGTTAAGGGTTTAGGGTTTAGGGCTTGTTTCAGTGTTCTGCAAGGGTTCCATCTGGGTTTCGGGCTTAGGTTTCAGGGTGGAGGGTGGAGGATTGCAGAGGCCTTTGGGGCCTAGGGCCTCTGGCATAGAGCCAATAAGGTTTGGGGTTTAGGGTTTAGGGTTTCGGGTTTAGGGTTTAGGGTTTAGGGTTTAGGGTTTAGGGTTTAGGGTTTAGGGGTTGGGTTTAGGGCCACAGCTTTTGGGAATTGAGGTTTAAGGGGTGAAGACATGAACCGTAGACGTCACCGCGAGACCTAAACCGTAGCCCCTGAAGTACCTTGAGCGCCGCCGCGTCCCTCGGCCCTACTCCGAAGCCGCGCAACCTCGGCGTAGAATCCAAGCAGAAGCGAAGCCTCAATTGATGCCAGAATCTTAAGAGTTTAGGGTTTAGGGTTTAGGGTTTAGCGTTTAGGGTTTAGGGCCTCTCAACCCTAGTTGTCCAGTTATCCTACTTTTACCCGCCACTTCTAACTACCCATGAACCTCCAAGCAGAGTTGATGCTCAAGATCTTAAAACCTTTCGACCCCGTTTCACTTGAAGCTCAGCTGCGACGAGGTCGGCAACGTTTTCGTGGAGAGCGCGCATCGATATGAGGCTGGCCTTGGGGTTTAGGGGGTACTGTAGAAGGCTGTATTGCTGCAGTACTATTCGCGTGATGGTTCCTAGTTACTATACCTTAGGGTTCTTCGTTGCCAGAAAGCAGTACTTAAAGGATCATGGGACTTAGTAAGTAGGGTTATATCTAAGGTAACAACCCTATACTTATAACCCCCAATTAGGGGACTTATAACCTTACTTACTAAGTCCCATGATCCTTTAAGTACAGGCTACAAGGAGCCCCAAAACCTGTTCTCATCATTAGGCCCGCCAGTTCGGGTCCTCTACAGGCGCATCTGTGAATGAGACTACAGCCCGTGCAGGTATTGGGTGGTTGTCAAAATTATGGTCCCCTTTTTGGGTCCTTATTATAATACGGCACCTATTATTTAGGATACCCCACAAGGGACCATAATTTTGACAACTACCCGTATGGAAGACTATAGGAGGTAGGGCTTAGGGTTTAGCCTTGAGGGTGCAGGGTGTTTAGGGTAGCCTCTGGGTGGTTGTTGTTGTCTGGTGCTATCTTGATAGGCTGTCATATGAGCATCAAGGGTCGTTCGACAACCACTCCACCAGGTGCAGTTGCTCAATCAGGGTGACATCGAAGTGGACTTCCGGCTTGTCCACCGAGAGGGCAAGTTCGCCCCGAGGCGGTGCCGTCCGGTGCCAGGGTTGAGGGCTTTATTATAACAGGATAGGAACTACTAGCCCTAAACCCTAAACCCTAAACCCTAAACCCTAAACCCTAAACCCTAAACCCTAAACCCTAAACCCTAAACCTAACACTAGTCCGCAGGGCCCTCTATATTTTCCGGTCTAGGCCCGGTAAGGCTTAAAGCCACGACCGTCCATAAACCCTGAGAGTGCAAGCCTTGTAAGACTCTTGGGAGGTTCGTGCTGCCATTAAGATCCGGATCCCGACGATGACTTGAGGAGTATCTCCTCATACCTCATGACTCCCAAGGGTGTTGATAGTAATTGAACGAATACCCCTGAATGATGCATCCGTGGTTATTTAGTTTCTTTGCCGGAAACTGTGGGGTTCCTTCTGGGCAAAGCGAGTTTGGAGCCACTCTTTCAAGCTCAGAAAACCCTGATAAAAGACGTCGAACACCCTTTCCAGTAAGCCGCCAGGAACCCCTTGTACCACCCTTCCGGGGCCCTTGCATACCCTACCTTAAGCTACCAAACCCTTTTGTTTTTTGTCGGTTCTGATATGGAATTTATAGGGACATTACAGAAAAGTTGGTTCTGGTGGGTGAAGCTAAAGCTATACTTGTCATCCCCCGGCCCGCCAGGTTCTAAACCCTAAACCCTAAACCCCAAACCCCTAAACCCTAAACCCCAAAGCCTAAACCCTAAACCCTACCTAAAGCTATACTCGTCATACCCCGGCCGCCAGGTTCAAATTTACACCAGACCATGGCACGATCGCGGTGGGGGCGCCCGGATTGCTTGGAGGTTCATGGGTAGTTATAGGTGGAGTTAGGGTTTAGGGTTTAGGGTTTAGGGTTTAGGGTTTAGGGCCTAATATAGGTTATAATTATAGTCACCCTACCTATAACCCTACTTATAATATAACCCATGAGCCTCCAAGTGTTCCTCCATTTCGGGCTCAGCAAGGGGCCCGGAACATTAAACCGAGTTCCTACAACCCTTGGTTTGGGTTGGAGAAACCCTAAACCCTAACTAACCTCTAGTGTAGGCTTGAGGGTTTAGGTTTTGTAGGTTTTTTTGTGTATCTAATCTATGGGGTTCTCAGGGTTTTTGCTGGGCTGCGAACTCTGAACATTCCGGCCCTTCCAACGCCGAAGACTTAAATCCTGAACCCTACAGCCTTAGTCCGACATGCCAAGAGCACCAGGGGGGGATGAGGTCTTCTGCCTACAACAGGGGCCTCAGGACTTCAGGGCAGATTCGGGGGGGAGGTGGGGGGAGGGCTTTTGGGGACGTCAGGGTTCGATGTCTAGGGCTACAGGTTTGGCTTTGAGGGTTTACGGTTTGGGGTGGATCAAGCGCCTCTCATCCCCCACGCCGCCTAGTGGGCTCTATACGGGTTCTAGAGGGATTTCTAGGGTTGCTTGTTGTAAGACCCGGTTTTGACACTCTGGAATCACGGAAGCTCAGCCTTCGAGCGGGAAAGTGGAGGGTTTCGGGTTTGGGGGTTTAGGTTTTAGGCAGTTTTAGGGTTAGGGGTTTAGGGTTTAGGGGTTTAGGGTTTCGGGGTTTAGGGTTTAGGGTTTAGGGTTGAGGGTTTCGGGTTTGGGGTTTAGGTTGTATGGTTTAGGGCAGAATGAGGAGCCCAACGTTTGGCAGCATCACGTCCCTTCCGTGAGCAGACCACAACATGTTTTTTTGTCGGGTTTCCAGAAGTGTAGATTGGGTTTCATGTTAAGACTTTACTAAACGCTGGGTGGCTTTAGGCTTTGGGGTTTGTGGGTTAGGGTTCAGAGATTATCATCCGTTTAGTGCGTGTAATAGCGTTGAGTACGCGTATTACACCCCTCCAGAGGCCACTACATGCATACAAATCGCTTAGAGCTTGTAGGAAATACTTCCACAGAGAACCCAAAACCCTGAACCTTAGGTTGGCGGCCAATGCGAGATTGTCGTGGATTTCAAGCCAAAGGACGTCCTTCACATTTTCAGGGGTTCTGACAGGCTCCAAAACGTTTTAGTTGAGATACATGCCTTAAATCTTCTTAGCGATGCCTTGAGAGGTCAGGAAGAGATTTTAGATGAAATTCTTAAGGATAACCGCAAAATCAAGGACTAGACCCTGATTTCGTCTTGAACCACATTATCAAGGCTACCCCCTATAGCTCCAGGGTAACTTGCGCCCAACAAATGGGGGGGGGGCTCTGGTGCTTTCGGCCTAGCTTTTTTTGGGGATAATGGATGCTGCTGATGATGATGATGGTGGTGATGATGATGATGATGATGATGTGGGTTTAGAGTTTTGGGTTTTCGGTTTAGGGCGTGGGGTGCTAATGATGAGGGTGACGATGACGGCTGTGAGCATGTATTGGAACACGGCCGTCGATGATTTCCTTGGGACGCCAGGAGAGATAGACGATGTTTCGAGAGACTATGACCTGGAGCTTTTCCGAGCTGTCCAGTGTCGGGGAATAGCAGAATAAATGCAACGCGCTGGCACCGAAAGCCTTAGGTTTAGGCTGTGGGTTTAGCGTTGGGGTTATGGGTCGAACCGTGCTCCTGTGAGCAAGCCACCTCAGACTCCTTGACTTCAGGATTTTGGATTGAGGGCTTCGGCGGTGTCAGGATGGTTTGGGTTGCAGGGCTCTGAGGGCCTAAACCCAAAACCCCAAACCCCAAAACCTCAAAACGCCAAAGCCTCAAAACCCCAAAACCCCAAAACTCCAACACCCCAAAACCTCAAAACCTCAAAACCCCAAAACCCCCAAACCCCAAAACACCAAAACCCCCAAAACCCCTAAAAACCCCAAAACCCCCTAAACCCTAAGTCCTCTAATGCTGTTCTGGGGGCTGAGGGGGCCGGGTCGATGATAGTCCTGGCAGGAGCTTGGCCAGTTTCACGAGGAGGGGAGCTGGATTTGGGTTTGCTGGGCCTTCTCTGGAGCTCCGGAAGTCTAGGTTCTAATGTAGAAGTCAAGAATTATTGTAGATTTCGAGAATTGTAAAACTGTAGACTTATAGACTTATAGAATATTATAGACTTAAAGAACTCGAAACAGAGAGAGGTTCTTACCATAGAGTTATACGATGAACTTACCCCGACGCTGTTGGAACTATTCAGGCTTTGAAACCCCAAGCCCTAAACTCTACACAAAACAGCAAACCCTAAACCCTAAGCCCTAAACCCCTAAACCCCTAAACCCCTAAACCCCAACCCCTAAACCCTAAACCCTAAACTCCCCAGCTCCTCATGCTTGAAGCCCAAAGTCTCGGCCCAGCCACCCCTGAAGAGCAGACCTGCAAAGCTCCATGCACCCTTTCATGTTTGGTTTAGGGCTTAGAGTTTCGGGTTTAAGGTTTTGGGGTTTAGGGCTTTCGGCTTAGGGTGTAGTGCTTAGGGTTTAAGGTTTAGGGTTTAAGGTTTAGGGTTTAGGGTTTAGGGATGTTCGGACTATGTGTGCGAGTATGCAGGGTACTGCAAGTCAAGTTTTTGGTGTCATAAGATCAGCAGTCAACTTTAGGGCACCTTTATGGTTGGAAGTTATAAGGACGATGGCAGGGGCCATACTGGAGTACAATGTTCAGTTCAGTTGTAGGGAAGGAAAGACGGGGTGCATGCAAAGCTTCAGAGGGTGGAGTGCGCTGAAATAAGACACCCAAGGCGCTACAATTCGGGAGATCGAATTAGGGTGCTGTACAAGTGCAAAGCACCCTGGAAACATGGTACGTATCGTCTGGAACCCGGCAGCAACAGCAACAGAGCACACCACAGGCTAAACTCGTACAACAACCCTACATCCCGCAAATTGAAAGCGCCAAGCCATAAATCCTTCACCTGCAGTCCCAAGCATGCTCTAATTCGACACCCTGACACGAGAGAAGGGGCCTTCATAGCACGGGTTTTGGAGAACCCTTTAGGGAATAATCGTGGCACTTACTCTCCTGGTTGAAAGCTTTAGCAGGAAACCCTAGAAAGCCCCATGACACCGTCAGTGACACCTTGTAGAGTAATGTAGGAGCCGAAACAATTACCAATACTACTATTTTGGGGGTTCCTTGTTATATTTATAGTATAATGGGCCCCTAAACCCTATTCCAATTATTAGCGTCCCTATATTAAACACCCAGAGTACGACCTCTCTGCGGAGAATTTTCTCGGTCAGGTTTTCGAGTGGGCTTTGCAAGGCAGAACAACCGCCTCATGCTCAGAGTTCGTTTAGGAGTTAGGGTATAAGGTTTAGGGTTTAGGATTTAAGGTTTAAGGTTTAGGAGTTAGGGTTTAAGGGCCCGGGTCTGGGGTTTATCCTTGAGGGTTCCATTAGAATAGGGTTTAGGATTTAGGTTTTAGGGGCCTCAATAGTAAGAACAGGGTTTTGGGTCCCATCATACTATAGTTATAATAAGGAGCCGGTTGAAGGTTCCGAGTCTGTTGAGGGTTCCTTTAAGTGTTCCTTTAAGGGCTCCTTTATCAGGGTTTCTAAGGGATTTAGTGTAGAGGCCTCAAACATTGAAGTAGGGTTTGGGTGTACATCTTCATCCTCAAGGCTTTGGTTTTAGGGTTAAGGGTTTACGAGGCTAAGAATTCACCATACCGGCTTTGCAGAAAAATACCCACCCGCCCAAGACTCCCGCATCATGAGGAACAACCCTACAACAGCTCCCTGTAGACTTGAAACAAGCCTGTCCTTGATGCTCCGACTTATTGAGATGCATGGTTTCGCTGCCCCACGGTCACTGTTCCATCGAGCGGCCATGAGAATCCGTAGTACATTTTTTTGAGCCCCTAGATATACGATGTCCAATATATATATATATATATATATAGAGCTGTAGGGTACTATACCCCATGCCGTGTCTGAAATGTTGAGGTGCCTCTACGTTAGTCGACCGAGTGAATCTGTGAACACTTGTCGAGACGCGTTCCATTCCCGTACATCATGAGCCCCAAACCTTAACCCTTGCCGTAACCTGCTAGAGCGGCTTTCTGCGGAGGCCTGTCACCAAAAAAGACAAAAACTAATTCCAGGCCCTAAGCAGGTATAGTATAAGCCATAAAGTTGGAACATTATAGTCCTCATGCCCTTAAAGTACAGTATGAGGGATCCTAGCACAAATCATCCTAAACCCATGTTCCAGCTTTCTGGTGTTTAGGGTTTAGGGTTTAGGGTTTAGGGTTTAGGGTTTAGGGTTTAGGTTTAGGGCAACCCTAAATGCTAATAACTAATCACCCTAAGCCCTACAGCCTAATCTCAAGACACTCACTGTTGCAGCAAAGGCCGTCACCCTGGCCTTTCGGGGGACCTCGGTGCGTCCAAAGCGGGCCCGACGCGATTGTGCTAGGATTTCTTTCAAAGGGTGGGGCTTAGGATTTGGGGTTGGGCCTTGGGGTTGGGGTTTAGGGTTTAGGGTTTAGGGTTTAGGGTTTAGGGTTTAGGGTTTAGGGTTTAGGGTTTAGAGTGGGGAGAGAGGTTTGGGGGTTGGGGGTTTTTGTTACGTTTACACTTCCTCTGGTTTCAGAGTGAAGGTTTAGGGATGAGTAGAAGTAACCCAGCCAAAACCTCACCCGAGCCAGCTACAAGGGCTTAGGGCGTTTTAGTTTCAGGGGTTCAGGGCTTGAGGTCTAGGATTTAGGGTTTATGTTCGGAGGTTCAGGATTAGGGCGGTTTAGCGGTTTAGAGTTTAGGGTTTATGGTTTAGGGTTTAGGCTTGGGGTTGAGGAGCTTGGTTTGTGCTTCAAAGCGTTCAGGGACTTTATATGTACGGTTGTGAGCAAGGTAACTGTGGTGACCGTGGTCACTACGGTACTTATGGCCGTACTTAAACCTGCTACCCGTCAGGATAGATACTTCATGTTCACGAGGGCCTTGTACCCTGCTTGTTATAGCAAATCACACAGACCCAAACCCTACGTCTCGAAACCCTGAAGCCCTAAGGCTCAAGGCCTCGAACCGCTAAAGGAAGGCCGTGCCTGGAGCGCCAATGCTTTAGGTGCGTAACATGTTCTAAGCCGTAGTAAGGACCCCTGTCACATTCGCGGTAATGTGGTATGGCTATTTGGAATCTTGAAACTCTCACAAAACGCTTCGGTTGCTAATCCTCAGTAGAAGTGATTGCTTCTAAAGCAACCTTCGTAGAACCCTGGCGCAAATCGCAAGGAACCCTTGGACATCCCTTGTAGAATCCTTCATGCGCCAGGTAAAAACACCTTTAGCCCGAAAACCCTGAACCACCTGAACCCAGACCCTAAACCCTAAACTTGGCCTGAACTCCAAACCCGAAAGCCAAAACCCTAAGCTCGCACAGAAAAGGCCACTGCTCTTTAAAAAAGACCCTAAGCTCCAGAACCCTAAGCCGAGGTTTGAATTCGACGTCGACAAGATCAACTTCGGCACCGTGAGCTTCGGCTTCCTGAATTCGAGGATGCTCACGCTCACCAACACCTCCGAGGTGCTTCCTTGGAACATTCAGACCCCTTTTCAGGGTCCCTTTAAGGGGTTTGTCTAAGGGTTTATATGGGGTTTGCCAATGGCTTTAATAGTTGGAACAGGGCTTCGGGGGTATGTTGTAGTATGACTACACATTACTGCATTTTTTCGACGCGTAGATTAGGTCTTCCCTCGGCTCTGCAGGGCAGGCGTAGATGATTGGCTCTCAGGGTTAAAGTCGTGGCCTGCGCAGGCCTCCAACCCAAGATCTGACAGCGTGGATTACGTGCTTTACTTTGGGGGTTCTGGGCGCAGCCCCTGAGCCCTGAACCCTAAAGAGTCGATCCGAAACCCTAGCCCGGAGGGAGGCGTTGAACCCCAAATCCTAGATCCCGGAGCCCTATAATTAGATCCCAAAGTTTTCTATGATGCCCAGGTTTAGGGTCTAGGCTTCAGGATTTCAGAAACCCTCAGGCTAAAATCCAAACAATCCGGAGTTGTGGCTTCGTCCTCCAGTTGCCCCCCGCTTTCCAGGTGCCCTGCTATTACACATTGATGGTGAAGGGCGACGAGGCAGGGGCCCCGGCAGTGCCGGGAATCAGGCCTCAGGGTTTTAGGGTTCCGGGTTTCGGTTTGGGCTTTTAGGGGTTGCGGTTTTCGGGTTTAGGGCTGTGGGCTGTTGGGGTTTCTGGTTTAGTTCGGGTTTTGGGCTGTTAGGGTTTCGGGGACGGCCTCACCGCGTTTGGGGCAACGTGTTGCACCCTGGGGCTTCATGTGCCGGTCATGCCTGGTGAGGGTTCTTGGGGCGGGAATTGTCACATGGCAAACTATTTCTTCGAATTTGGAGGAGAATGACTATTTATTCCAGGCCTCTGCAGTATTTCCTGGCGCCTGATTGTTTCGAGCTTGCAAGCCCTGCACCTGCCTGTCAACGTGGCTTCAGGGCTCGGATTTACGGTTTCAGGTTTAGGTTTTTACAGGGGTATAATGTTTGTTCGGGACTGGGGGTTCGAGGGGTCACTTTTCGCAGGGGCCGTATAGGGTTCGGGGGTTTACATCTTTTGGGTTTACCCTAAACCCTAAACCCTAAACCCTAAACCCTAAAACCCTAAACCCTAAACCCTAAACCCTAAACCCTAAAGGTTTGTGGTTTAGGCTCTAGGGCTTTCCGAACCCCCCGACGCCCGGAAGCCAAAAGCCCACCAAAGACCAACTGGAAACGTAAATGCTCAAAGCCCTCAAACCCTAAAGCCCTAAACCCTCAAATCCAAAGGGCTACAGTACAGCCCTAAACCTCAAACACAAATCTAGCCCCTGCCCTAGAGCCCATGATGACCTTTCTTAGCGCTAGGGTTCCTTATGCTAACAATTCTATAACGGAGCCGCAAAGCCCTATTCTAATTTTTACGACCCCTGCATAAGCCCTGGAGGCCCCGCCGAGCAACGAGTTCGAGATCATCCCTTCGCGCGGCACCTTGCTGCCGAACTGTGCACAGCGAATTCAGGCGGGGAGGAGGTCCAAGGGTTCACCTCGTGGCGGCGTAGGATTCTAGAAGGACTCGAGAGAAAGGTCCTATGAAGGTTCTATGAGGCTTCTGTAAGGGTTTCGGGATTTAGGGTTCGGGGTATCGGTTAACCTGTCGGTGGGTTTTGAACCTGGCATAGAGGGTTATCCTCTTTGGCACAGGAAGCTCAGCCCTCCGAGCGCTGGAGAACAGCGACAAGCTCGTACAGATTAGGTTCCTCGAAGCATCCTCGGTGAATCTCGGCCACCCCTAAAGACCCGAAACCCCCAAACCCGACACCTTGACGAAGCCACCGAAGCGAAGGTGTTCGGCGGGAGCGTTTCGGGCTTCTTCCCCAAGCCCTAAACCCCAAAC